GACATTCATGGTGACCACTGGACGGCACTACGGTCTCTGCTCCCACTTTACCAGGCGATCACCTCGGTGAAGATCGGCGATGGAGCAACATGCTCTTTCTGGCTAGATGTTTGGCATGGAGACGAAGCTCTAGCAGACATCTGCCCAGCACTCTTTAGTCACTGCACAAGAAAGGATGACACAGTAAAGGAGGTGATACTGTCTGGTCTGCGCCCTGGACTGGTGCCAAGACTATCGCAAATGGCTCTTCAAGAGCTGCAGTATGTTGAAGGAGTGCTCGCACAAACGGAACTTTCAGGTCAAGCCGATCAGAGATCTTCACCATTCAGCAAAAACGCCTCAGGGCTTGATAGCGGTGCAATCTACCAGCTGCTAAAGGTGAAAGGACAGCCGTCTGATGACAGAGCAAACTTCGTCTGGCGAAATGCAGCACCTCCACGCGTGCAGATGTTCATGTGGCTGCTTCTGCAGGGCAGGATACAGTGCCGCTCTGTGCTGCACCGGAAAAATGTGCTACCGGACTGTACCTGTGAGGTCTGCAATGAGGATGACGAAACACCAGAACACATAATCAGCGGCTGCAACCTTGGCAAGCAGTTCTGGGAGAAGCTTGGGGCAACATCCATAGTGGGAATCAGTGTTACTGACATACACACAACAACGCCACCAAATGGGGTCCCCAGAGAGGAGTACTCGGCCTTCATTGCATTAGCATGCTGGCAGCTGTGGAAGGCAAGAAATGCAACGGTATTCAGAGAAGAAAGGCACAACATCACACAAGTATTCGCAGCCTGCAAAGCATCGGCAGAGCAGTGGCGATACAGATTTCCAAGAAGGAAAAGGCCAATTGTTGATCAGTGGTGTCAGGTTTTCGAATCAGCAAGAAATGGATGACTAGTGCTCATACTTGATTTTGACAAACAGCTATCATCACCACCTGTGGGATGATATGTAACCAAACACCTTGTATAACTATATAACGGGCCGGTTTTTGGGCCAATATATAAATCAGGTGGGGAACGCCTCCCCCCTGTTGAAATTCAAAAAAAAATACTCCTCTGTATTTGGAGTGGGCACCTGAAAACATATTATCTCCTACCTCAGCACCGGTGGATGAGGAAGAAAAGAATGAAGTTGGCGAGCATATTGTTACTAAAGCTATTGTAGAACAAACTGTGGAAGGAGTAAGTGCTGAAGACATTGACCCAGATAGGGTGGAGGTTTGAAACTTCAACTTCTTTGCATGAATGTTTGGCCCTCATACCTCTTTACTATACACATATGGCACTAGGGTTTCCTATGGCAAAAACTTGTGTTCCTAAGTGTGCACCTGTTTTTGCATATGAATTGCTGCATTCCAAGATTGCTTTAGAATTATTTAGTTGCTTATTGTTGGAGTCCATTTCTGTTCTTAAAAGATACCATCGTTCATTGCAGTCACGATCAGTGTTTGTCAAGAACTTAAATTTCAAGGCAGCAGATGAATCTTTGAAGCAGCATTTCAGTACAAAGCTAAAGAGTGGCAGTCTTAAAAGTGCAACGGTATGGATTGGATGTGCTCTTATTATGGATATCAGGTGCATCTTGCAGCAATTTTCTTTGTCTGTCTTTAGGTGAAGAAGCATGTTAAGAAAGGCAAGAATGTTTCAATGGGATTTGGTTTCGTGGAGTTTGACTCTGTTGAAACTGCAACCGGTGTGTGCAAGGATCTACAGGTAGCACTCATCCCTCTTCTGTTTTCCTTTTTGCTTCTTTCCATTAAATGCTCATATAGATGTGCAGCACGCTAAATGTTCCTTCTGTTCATAGGGAACGGTTCTGGATGGACATGCTTTGATCTTGCAACTGTGCCATGGGAAGAAAGATGGTCAAGCTGCAAAGAAGAATGGCAAGGATAAGAGTTCAACAACTGCTTGTGCGTAATGTAGCATTTGAAGCAACTGAGAAGGACTTGAGGCAGTTATTTAGTCCGTTTGGCCAGGTCAGCGTCCTCTTTTTTCATCTGAATAACTTGGGACCAATGTTTTAATTAGGTTAAATTTTGTTTAATTAGTCAAGTTCGTCTTTTCAGCTCTCCTTGCTCAACGGAAAAAAAATACATTAGTTTCAAGTTGATAAGTGATTTTACTCTTTTCCCCCAGAAATCTTCTGATTTGAACTCATTATTAAAATTAAAATTAAAATTTGTAGATCAAAAGCCTCAGGTTGCCTATGAAGTTTGGAAGCCACAGAGGTTTTGCGTTTGTCGAATATGTCACTAAACAAGAGGCCCAGAATACTCTACAAGCCCTCGCAAGCACTCATCTTTATGGTCGACACCTGGTAATTGATCAACATGTCCCCCTCAAGCTTGCAATCTACTTTACATCATAATGAATTTTAAATCAAACTTCCTGACTCCACTTCAGGTGATTGAGCGAGCAAAGGAAGGAGAGACTCTTGAAGAACTGCGAGCAAGAACTGCCGCACAGTTTGTGGATGAACACAGCGGTTTTCAGAGCTTGTCCAGAAAGAGGAAACAGAGCAGCCTTGTGGACGAAGGCTCTGTTAAAATTTCCAGAATAGTAGAGTGATGATTTTGAGAGAGTAGGCTGGTCAACTGGTTTCTCTTAGGTTGCTTAATGTTTGTGTGCTGTTTTAGAGCTGAGGAAAAGAAATGCTGAAAAAGATCTCACAACCTACAAAATGGCTAAAAGTACATCATAAATGCAAGAGCTGTCTAAATCAGTTTTGAAACTAGCTGATCTGGCAAGCATATTTCTACAGCCCGTCGGTGAGTTTATAACTCTACATACAGCACGATCTCAAATTTTATACACCACTGAACTGATGATCACGTCTCATCTAATCTATGTTTCTTTCCCTATACCTGTGTTTACCTCTCTGTAACAGAAGCAGAACATGCAAGATCTGTGTGAACCGCTACCATGTACATTGTGACAGTTTTGTCGCTGGGCAACATTTACAAATTTCAAAACTCGGTCGAGGAGAGATGGCTTTGGATAGCTTCAGTAACTGTCGAAAGAAAGGTTAGTTATGCTGCATTCTCATCATGTGAGATATAGCCACGTGAAACTGAAGATGTTGTCACATGCCTAACTACGCTTGCTGGGCCTCCTCCGTCCTCAGCGCTGGTTCTCACTGTGCTGGCTGTCCAGGGGCATGTACTGCTGCGCCATGATCTCCGAGTCCATGTATCGCTGCAACACAAGACAGTGGGAATCCACGATCAGGAAGGAAGGAAGAAAGAACCAGCTGTGTGTCTGCTGCCTGGATTGGGGAAGAGATCGCTCGGTCCCTACCCTGAGCCTGTACTTGTAGAACACGTATCCGGCGACGCACGACAGGACCAGTGCGGTGACGAGCCACCCGAACGCCGACATTTTCTTGGCTGGACGTTGAACAGCAGGCAGCCGAGCGTTAACTCTTCAGCAAGAAGAATAACAGAAGGAGGAGCAGGAGCTGGAGCATGAGCAGAAAGGTGGTTGATGATGGCTTCACCACTGCAGGTGTCTTCGTTCTTGATGTAGATCATGCCGCGGTTGCACTTGCAGTCGAAACCACCCCACGTGTTCTTGCACGAGCAGTGCGGGCAGGAGCACGCTGCACGCCAGCTTGTCTCTGCACTCGTCGACGTCTGCAATGCCAACGGGAATCAGCAAAGGCAGGCCAGGCAGGCCAGGCTCGCTCAAGTCGATGCAATTCTGACGCACGCAAATTTGCAGGGAATCGGAGCAAGGTGGGTACATAGGTTCAGAGAACGTTAAATTATTTAACATTTTATTTGTTCCAGTAGTTCTCATCAATTATGCACTCTGATTGATACTATGATATATACTAGATACAACACACAACTTTTGGTTTAATAAACTACATTACAGTTTATTTTACCGGGCGGGTCAACAAATTCAGACTGTTACATTTATATTTCCAAGGCCATATATCAATTTCCAGGTGAGTAGGTGATCGACCGTTTGATATATAGGCGAGCGAATACCAGCTCACCATGACGAAAACGGTCACAAAAATCAAAATAATACTTTTCTGATGAAAAATACCGTACTTTGTCCTAAATTATAGGTGGTTTTGGTTTTTCTAGGTATATCACTTTTATTATGCATGTCTATGATATGTAAAATTATGTATCTAAAAAGGCACTGGATCTGTGTTCCGTATTGAATGCTAATTACTCTCCCTATATAAAAAATTATAATTTTTACTTTTTGAGAAGTTAAATAATTTTGATTTTAAGTAATTTATAACAAAATTTATGATATCAAATAAATATTATCAGAATAGTCATAAAATATATTTTTATAATAATTTTATTTAGATATATAAATATCAATTCTATTTTCTATAAACTTAATCAAATTTTAGAATTTTTGACTTATCCAAAATCTAGAATTGTATTTTTTGGACGGAAGGAGTATATTATAACTAGCAGTTTCCAGTAGAGCAGCAGTGGTCAAGGTCCATTTTTAAATACTTGTTTAGGGCAATCTACTAGATGCAGTTATGGTCCATACCTCAAAAGACGTCGCTCAACTCAATTCAATGGAAATTTTCGTCCAGAATGGATAGATGTTTATATACTACTCTAATTAATAGACTTTACACTTAATGCGTTGATTAGCTTTAATTCGTTCGGTCTCATTTTGTGCTTTTTGAAAATTCACCATGGCAAATCTCAAAAAAGAATACCAGGGCTGAAAATCATAACTTTATTATGGTCCACTACTTAAATTATTTGCGATAAATCGAAATAATCCTATTCACATAATTTTTCCAAACCACGGAGAAAAAATATTAGATATAGCAAAATTGTTTCAAGTTTTTTCCGTAATAACAAACAGAGAGAGTTTCGTGCACGAAATACGCTCGCTGTCCCAGACAAGTTCAGGTTGCTTCGTCGCACAAAATTGTGCAGCCGGTTGCTTCCTCGCTCGGCTCCGCTACCAGCCGACAGCCAGCATCACTGGCAATGGCAACGGCGGCGGTCACCCTGTTGCGCCTCTGATGTGCTCCGCGACATCGTCCGCGAAGACGGCGCTCTTGAACCTCCCCATCTGCAGTGCATCATTCATTGATTAGGTTGTGTGACTCAGATCAGATATCCACAGATCACTAGATCAGTGCTACTGGTAGCAAAGTGAAACAGATGAGTGTCTGCTCTTTACTGCTGGCCGGCCTACTCTACTCACATGAGTGACGATGGCGTAGAGAGGGAGCGTGCTGTAGCTGCAGAGGACCTCCACGATGACACTGACGAGGAACAGAGAAAAGAGGCACAGAAGAAGCAAGCGTTAGCTAGATCGCTGCACATTGATCTCGCAAACCTGGATGACTGATCGACGAATCATTCAGCGTGAGATGAGAAGGATGCATGATGGATTAAGGTTCTCAATTGGTACCATATGACAATTCTTGACACGCTGTATCCCAGTCCGTCCATCATGCAGGAATTAACGCCGAATGTCTCCTGCATATATACAAAACATAACACGAGTTTCATTGCATTGACTGCATCTGCATGCATGGCTGATGCTTGTGCTTACCAGCGTCCAGAAGAAGAAGGCGTTCTGGAACAGGATGAAGCGGATGAGGATGAGTACCAGCCGGGGGCTCCGGAACCAGAACAGGTCGTCTGAAGGGCTCATGACCATGCCGTCCATGCGCACGCCACCCTCTTCGTCCTCGGCAGCAGCAGTGTGCTTCGTGGCGACCTCGTAGGCCAACTTGTTTATGATTGTGCTCCAGCTTCGCTCCGATCAGAAGCAGCAGCTGGGAACAGGACAGAACTACTTCAGCAGCAAATGCAAAGAATTGCAAACCTCATAACACTAGTTTTTTTATACAGGGTTAGTTCAGGATCCAGAAGCTCTGCTTGTACTTAGAATCGCACTGGTAGTACTTACAGACAACGGGATTAGTGAGATCCAGAAGTTGGAGTGCCATCCTGAACCCAGAAATTGAAGTAAAATATAAACGGCACCTTTGTCTTTGTGAATGCTGTATTAATAAGAAAATATAATACTGATACGGGACCAAGAAACATGTGAACAAAATTAAATTATGGCCAAGTAAGAAAATTTAGTCCTACCGGTGACATTGAGGAGCAGAAAGATCATCACAAATATCCAATGATACCATCTGCAGTAGAACAGATTGAAGGTATAGTTGTTAAACTGCCACTCAAGTCCTGAAGAACAACAGTCACATGAGACCAACTTATATTACTTTATGCCAACTACTCTCTTAAAATCTTTCTCGAGAGCTTTGATCATGTAGCCATAAAAGTTGAATTTTGGGTGGCCCCTCATGTGTTCGCTCTTCTTTCTGCATAATACAGAAAGAAGAGCAAACGATAATATATGGCATTGTAGCATCATGATTTACCAAGACGAAATCAAGCCTCATGGCATCGTAGTCATCCTCCGTTAGTGATCCGTAAAACTGCTTGAAGAATGAACGCTGAAAGCTAAAAGAAAAGTATATCACCTCTTGAAGTCCAAGCATTATTCAACACTAGTAATGTGCACAAAGCAGTAGGAGTAACATAGATGGGATGATCAGTGATAGTGCAGACCATCCATATTATGACCATGGCGACTTTCTGGTGTCCCTTGCACCAGTCCTGTATGAACTTGATTGATCATCTTAGGAGCTGCGGTTGATTGATGCATGGCATCAGTTAGTAATCTTATTGAGTTGCTGAAGTAAAAAAAAGAAAAGAAAAGGAAAAAAGGAATTCTGAATTTCTGATACACAGGTTGGAATCGCTGTCCTACCACTGTCGTCCTCTTCTTGGATGGCGTTCTCCCAGTGCATCCATTTGCGCATCTGGACATATAAATCTTAGAGGAGCTGCAGGTTAACCTTGGAAAGATTCAGAAGGTTATGGTCTTATGGAATAGGCTAGTAATAACCTGAAGAAGCCCCAGGAGCACGGTGATGGCCCTGAGAACAACATGAGTGATGGCCAGCACAAAAATGAAGACGACGTGGATCTGTTCCAAGGCCGGAAGCGAGAGCAGTGGGACTTGTCCCTGAAAGGCCGAGGCATGTCAAGAGGAGGGCGGGTATGGGCCCAGAACTTTTTTTCTTGGGCCTAAAATTGGAAGAGAACAAAGGCCTCCGGCCCATTTGGTACGGAGGAAGCTGATGATGATGCTCATGATAGTCTCGAGCTCGTATCCATTACTACCTTGTTTGAACAGTGCTCCGAGGCTGGTCTTCCTTGGAGCATCCTCCTCCTCGCGCTGCCGGCGCCGTCACGGCCAAAGATGGAAAAGATACTGCGGTGATGGTGTGCCGCCGCCGACGAGGCGCCCCGGCACGGCAACCAGCGTTCCATGAGGCTCTCGTCGATGCAGATGTCCTGGATCACGTCCTGGAAGACGACGAGCAGCAGCGAGACGAACCCGAGCAGCATCAGCTCTGCAGGTAGGGTACGGTGGATATGGCCCATGAGAGACAACGTACGCACACAGGACCAGCTGCAGTCGGTACGAACACGACAACGACGGCTAGCTAATAACCTTCTTTGAGCTTCAGCAACGCCTCGTACAAGGTCTGCCTCCGGTGCTCCAGTGCCTGCATGCGCGATCGGCCGGACTTGTCACTTGTCAGCTTCACCGCCAAGCAGCAGATCGAGAAGCTCTACACAGGATCGGAAGCTGGCGAAGGAAGGTTGATTTCGGAATGGGTAGTAGATTTCTCACCTTGCCGAGGCGATGGAGCGCGCGTTCGAAGACGAAGGACATGAGGACGATGCCGGAGCACACGGACGCCACGATCCATTTCGGAGTGCCCTCGAGCGACGTCTCCTCCGGCTCCGGCATCGCCAGCGGTCGATCTCCGGCAGCTCCTCCCACGGCCCAGGATCTGAGTCGGAGCAGCCCCTCGTGATCGCCTAGCATACTTCCAGTTCCAGACAAGTGATCGACTCGCTATGCTGCAGACAGGCTGAAGTGGCCCTCAACAAGTATCATTCTCAGGCTAAGCATCAGGTTTTAAATTACTCCGATATAGCAACATCTCGCTTCAAGCGCTGTTCTCTATTTTTTTTCCAAGCATTATTCTCCCTTTTTCCCTTTTCGGTGGATCAATGCGCATACCGTGCGGTACTTGAGCCAACAACTGAGATTTAAAGGTAGATATGTGTATGGATTGTTCTTATATATACTTCAAAGTCGAAATGGCATGCATGAAGCACGTTTGGTTATTCTATTGCGTTGTAGGTCACTTACTCACTTGCAATTACTTAATATGCAAGGAAGTGCACAGGTTAATTAGCTAGCAAGGGTATCATTTGTTTGGATCTACGCCGGAATGTGGAAGCTGGATTGTAGATGACTAAATTAAACTATCAATGTATACATGTTACAATCAATACCGGAAACGTCAAATTTGCCGAGCGTATTCTCTCGGACACTCGGCAAATAAGTTTTTTGTCGAGTGCTGCGATAAAAACACTCGGCAAAAAAAACACTTGATAAAGAGGAGGTTTGCCGAGTGTAAAAAAAACACTCGGCAAAGATGGGGTTTGCCGAGTGTTTTTTTTACACTCGGCAAAGGAAAAAAATATTTTTTCTGGGAAAGAAGGAGAAGAAAAAAAAAATGAAAAAAAATCTTTGCCGTGTGCCCAGATCTAGGACACTCGGCAAAGGAAAAAATATTTTTTCTAGGAAAGAAGGAGAAGAAGAAAAATAGAAAAAAAACTTTGCCGAGTACCCAGATCTGGGACATTCGGCAAACGAAAAACATCTTTTTTTAACCCCCAGCGGACGCGCCCTAGGTTTCCCCAGCGGCCCCCCCCCTTCTCCCGGCGCCCATCAGACGCCCCCCCTTCTCCTCGCACAAGACGGCACGCGCCCCCTCTCCTCCTCTCGGCCAGGCGCACTTCGCCCCTCCTCCTCTTGGCGCCGCCGACGCCTGCCCTCCCCTCCTCCCTCGCCGGCGCGGCCCGCGCTCCCCCCTTCCTCTCTCGGCATGGCGGTGCTCCCCTGCCTCTCCCCGCGTGGCGGCGCACCTCCCTCCCTCCTCCACCGCCTCCACCAGATCCGGCCCCAGCGCGGGCGGATCCGGCGACGGTGGCGCACGGAGAGGCCGGATCCGCCCCGCGCAGCGGCGGACGGATCTGCGCGCATGCCCTCCTCTCTCCGGCACGCGCGGCGCTCCCCTTTCTCTCTCCACGGCGGTGCACTCTCCCCCCACCGCCTCCACCAAATCGGCCCGGCCAGGCGGGTCCGGCGACGGTGGCGCACGGGGGAGGTCGGATCTCGCCCTAGCGCGGCGGCGACGGATCTCGCGCGCTGGCCTCCTCTCCCGGCGGGCGACGCCTACCCTCTCCCAAATACGGGCGCCCTCCCCCCTCCCTTATCGGCGGTGGCGCCTCCCCCTTCCTCTCTCGGCATGGCGGCGCTCCCCTCCTCTCCCTTTCCGCGGCGCTCCTCCACCGCCTCCACCACATCCGCCCCGGCGTGGTGGTGGCTCAGGCGTGGTGGCGCGGCGTGGTGGTGGTGGTGCGGCGTGGTGGCGGTGCGGCGTGGTGGCGGCGCGGAGAGGAGAAGATGGCGGGGTTTTTTTTTATTTTTTCTGAAAAATTGTTTGCCGAGTGTTTTTTGGGCACTCGACAACGTCTTTACCGAGTGCGCGACAAAAAATACTCGGTAAACTAGCGTTTGCCGTCAAAACGTTTACCGAATGTTGTTTGCCGAGTGTACACTCGGCAAACCCTTTGCCGAGTGTTTTTTGGGCTTCGTCGAGTGCCCCTGCACTCGGCAAAGATCCTGTATCCGGTAGTGAATGTTTCAATCAAAGTGTATAAATTTATCTAAAAAAAGTAGCAACTTATGTAATTTATTGCTCCATCCGTCCCAAATTACAAGTTATTCAAGAATCTTGGAGAGTCAAAGCATCTTAAGTTTGACTAAATTTATATAAATGATAGCAACTAAGTATACGTATTTGATGTCATAAATCTTTGTATTTCTCTCTATAATTTTTGGTTAAACTTGTAATTTAGAACCGAGGGAGTATCATAGAATATTAATGTGTAACTCAAAATGGTTGACCATGCCACTGCTATTTCTCTAATGTGAGTTGAAACTTTACGCTAAAATTATATCAGCTATTATTGTGGGTTGTATGTAGCTCCTCACAAAAAGTTAAAGAAAAAGTTATTGTTATATAGCTCACCCGATGTGAGTTGTGACGTCATGAATATAGATTTTGGGTTTCAGATTTTGATCATATATTAGTTACAGCAATTTTTGTTGGCCCACAGCTTAAGATCAAATTTGAACGCTTGCAGTACCTTTTATTAATTTATTAAACCCTTGTTTCACACTTTGGCCCCGTTCGCTGGTCTGAAACTTGGCTGAAAAACACTGTTCCGGCGGGTTTGTTGTGAGAGAAAAACACTGTTCGGGTTTGATGAACAGTAACGTGAGAGGGAATCCAGCCGGCTGGCTGGTCTGGTTCATACCAGCGAACGCAGCCTTTATTATTGAAAAAAACAGGAGTAGATTCTAGGACCTAGACTACAATCTTTAATTCAAAACGGCATAATCAACCATTTCCACAAAAAAAAAAAGAACAACGCTGATGAACAGAGCTCAGCCTCTCAAATCAGGAACTAGCTAAGCTACCCTCAGTCCTGGAGCAAAAACACAACCACATATGCAACCTCGACTCTTTCAGTCAGCTGGTACTAGTAACCATTGCTCGCTGTCCAGTCAAATGAAGACGGACTGCGACAGCATACGCGTGCTGCAGTGCAGAGATTGCGCGGCTTGACGCCCTTCAATTCCTTCCTCCGTCAGAAGCCAGAACTCAGAAGGAGATGCTCCGAAGCTGCTGGGTTGGGCGGCTCCTCCCGGCCATCAATGATCTCCAGCCGGCGGCGCCTTCCCAGCCCCGTCCCGCCGCCGGCGTACCAAGGCAACTGGCGTCGACATCCGTGGCAGATCTTCGCACGCGCCTCCGAGCGCCATCGGCCCAGCCTCTGAGATGCTCGGCGACGTCGTCCGCGAACACAGCGCTCTTGAACGAACTCCCCATCTGACAACACATTTATTTCACACAGGTACGTGTTTATTGTTAGAATTAGAATGCGAAACACACACGCAAAAAAAAAGTATAGTCATGTATAAGCATGCATCCTACTACTGACATGGGACACAATGGCGTAGAGCGGGAGCGTGCTGTAGCTGCAGAGCACCTGGACGACGACGCTGAAGAGCAAAGAATAAACCAACCATGCAACCACAAGAAAACGTCATCAGGTCGATGAACATTGACATCTATCTAACAAGACGGCCTGAAGAGGAGAGATCAACAGTGATGTTCTTAGTACCATATGATGATTCGCGATACGCTGTATCCTAGACTGTCCATGATGCAGGAGTTGACGCCGAACATCACCTGAATCAGGAATGATGCGGCAAATCGTCGTCACTGGCCAAATGGATCGACGGCGTAGCGTAGCCACATTATATTTGAAACAGAGATTGCATGCATGCCAATGCCATATGTTTACCAACCAGTGTCCAGAAGAAATACGCGAACTCGAAGGCGTTCTGGAAGAGGATGAAGTGGATGAGGACAAGCACCAGCCGTGGGCTGTGGAACCAGAACAGCTCGTCTGAAGGGCTCACGACGATGCCCCCTTCCCCTTGCCCAGCGGCGTGCTTCGAGGCCACCTCGTAGGCCAGCTTGTTTATGATGTGCTCCAGCTTTGTTCCAATCAGAAGCAGCAGCTGTGACAAATGATAAAGGGCATCATATAGTAGTGGTAATTAGCACAAATAAAGAGGCAAATAAATACTCTTCTAGTATGAGAGTATCAGTAAGGATTAATAGTTCTTACAGCCAGTGGAACTAATGAGATCCAGAAGTAGGAATGCCACCCTGAATCAACAAATTATAGATTAGTATCATTGTAAGTGCTACTAAAAATACAGGCACCACTGGACCAAAAAAGTGAGAACATATAGATGACTGACGTCATCAGGGAAAAAAAGCATACCGGTGACATTGAGTAGCAAAAAGATCATCACAAAAATCCAGTAATACCATCTACATACATTAGAACAAAGGCAAGTCACTAATGTGCCAGTCGTAGAATAAGTTCTGAGGCTCCTACAGAAAGCATAAATTCCGAAGAACAACAACCTGCACCCACCAAATACACAGACTTACTTTATACTAACTACTCTCTTGAAATCTTTCTCGAGAGCTTTGATCATGTAGTCATAAAAATTGAACTTGGGGTGCCCCCTAAAGTGCTCCTGCATGGCACCCATGAGAGAGAGAGAGAGATCAGAAAGAGCACATCTGCACATGGATGAGAGGTCTGAAAGAGAAAAACGACAGCATGAATAATGCCAAGTACTAGTAAAGTAGTAGTATGTACCATGACGAAACCAAGCCTCATCGCAATGTAGTCGTCGTTGGATACTGATCCGTAGAACTGCTTGAAGAAGGAACGCTGGAAGGAAGAAGAGCTCTCTTACTGAAGTTCAGACATTCATCAAAAAATGAAGCAGAGATTTGTTCTAGTAGCAGACCAGCCATATTATGACCCAGGTGGCCTTCTCGTACCCCTTACACCGGTCCTGGACGAACCTGATTTTCTGCACACGGGCGATCATCTTGGGAGCTGCAGTTAGTTAGTGATGTGCATCAGTTATTCAGTTAGCCTCATTGGACTCTCAAAAGGCCACAAAAAAAGAGGAAATTGGTCGCCCTACCAGAGCTGCCCTCTTCCTGAATGGTGTTCTCCCAGTGCATCCATATCCGCATCTGAACATGTAAAATACTATATTAGTGTTGAGTTAACATTTCGGTTTAGGGGTTTTCTCTACGGTCCTTTGAAAGGTACCAAGAGATGCCACAATTTATAACTAGGGAGGTACTACCAATTTTACCATTCATTAAGTTGTACTTTTTATTCAACCATTTTTTTAGGACCACAAGAATTTTGCTATAAGTTTTTTTAGACGAGAGAAAACCAAAAGAGATAGTACAACCACTATTCCAGGTCCCAACAGGGGAAAAAATACAAGCCTTTGGAAATTTTCCTATGAAGCTCTTTGAAAAGTATCAAGAGATGTCACACAATTTATAACTAGAGAGGTACCATTTATAGTAGCTAATATACCACATTCATCAAATTATAGTTTTGATACAACCTTTGTTTTAAAGACAGTAAGAATTTTTTCCATAAGTTTTATTAGACGTGAGAAAACCAATAGAGATCCTCTGGTCCGGTGGTAAAACTATCCAGTGGTGCGCTACCCACCGGCGTGGATACCTGGTGTCGCGCAGTTTTTCTTGGAAAAATTTACAAAAAAGTAGGGTACATGCACGTGTGCATGTTCGGTGGTACTGTGTATTCCCCGCACATCCCAATACAGAAAAGAGAACACGACTCTTTGGGAACAAAGGAAAAATAGATGAATTATAAATGACTAAAATACTATAGAAAAGTTTTATATGAAGCTGTTTGGAACAAAGGATTTGATTCCTACAAAATCAAATTCTATGAAATTCCTTTGGAATAGCTTGTTTCATACGAATTTGGAGAAATTCTACCAAGATGCTCAACCTCATGGTTTCCTTTTGCGTCAACAAATCTCTTTGTTTTTTTTTGGCTCCATCCAATGTTCGATCTTGTATTTTTCTGTGTTTTTTTCAATCCAAAGGATCGGACCCCTTTAGTACGCAAGGATTCAGTAAAATCCTACACGTTTTCCTATGAATTGGAATGGTTCCAAGAAAATTCCTATTTGGTTCATGTGAAATTCGTGCGTTTCAAAGGACCCAAAGTTTTCTAGATATTGTCTAATTAATGTGGTAATTTCTAGATCTTGAGAATTAACGTCGGTTGTTTTTTTGTTTGCCAAATACTAAGATACTAGATGAATCATGTTTGAGGAAGAAGATACATAGACGAATTGCTATGATAGAATGGACTAATTAACCTGTAGAAGTCCCAGGAGGACGGTGGCGACGCTGAGAACGACTTGAGTGATGGCTAGGACGAAGATGAAAATGTGAACCTGCTCCAAGGCGTGAAGTGATAGCAACGGAACTTTTCCCTGACACACACACAAAAAAATGATGAAGCTTATTCGCAAAAAAAAATGATGAATCTCAAATTAGATTTTCCCTGAACACATTTTCTAACTAAATTATGCACTAAATTACTTGAGCATGCAGTTGAGTTTTTTTTTTCGCAAACGGGGATTGAACCCGTGTTTCGTTAAGACGATAGGAATTTTGGTACAACCGGTTGTTGGCCTGCTACATCAAATCATTTGCGAGTGGCAAGCAATATAGTTAGCAAGGCTAACAACAACCCTCAACAGGGTTATTGCATATGGTGACGAATTAGTCAGAAATGTCCTAGCGAATATATGCATCGTCTTTTGAAAAGATCTTTCGAACTCAATCGGCATAGATTACGCGCTTACCTTGCTTGAACAGTGCCCAAAAGCTGCCCCGCCGCCTTTGAGCATCCTCCTCCCGCCACTGATGACTGCGGAGGACGAGACGCCGTGATGAGCCGTCGCCGACGCCGAGGTGGCGGCGGGCGCGCCCCGGCACGGCAGCCAGTGCTCCATGAGGCTCTCGTCGATGCAGATCTTCTGTATCAACTCCTGGAAAACGACGAGGAGCAGCGAGACGAACCCCAGCAGCATGAGCTCTACAAATTGACGGAGATGAGAGCCACTGTTACAGGCAAGCATATCATCGAGATGCACAAACGCAGAGCACACGATCGACGATGACCACCACCAAACTAACCTTCTTTGAGCTTCAGTAGCGCCTCGTATAGGGTCTTCCTCCGCCGCTCCAGTCCCTGCGCTCGCGACACGTGCCCGGATCGGACTCGTCAGCTCGCCGGCGGTGCATGCTGCGTGGATGTGCATGTGAAGGTTTTCAAGGAGGGTGCGTTTTGTTCCTCACCTTGCCGAGGTGATGGAGCGCGCGCTCGAAGACGAAGGAGATGAGGACGATGACGGAGCACACGGACGCCACGATCCATGTCGGCGCGTCCTCCAGTGTCGCCTCCGACATGGCCGTCGACGACGTCGAAGAACTCCCTCCTCTACAGCTACTGGTCTACTGCCCCGAAATGAAGTGTGGTAGCTGAACAGCTGAGCTATTCACTCTTCAGTGTTGCATGCCGCTGCAATCTTAGTTCATATGCACTGACAGGCGGCTGCTAGAGCCACTCATCAACCGGCTGCTTTTCACACCCGATCCCAGAGCTCGCGTACAATTCTTTTCGCTGTTTTTTTTTCTCGAGATGCTTTATCTGTGTATTAGTATATGCTCCATACAGTATTTTTAACGAAAACTGCCTAAAGATATAAAGTGAGAGTAGACCTAAAATAATTTGAAGATTTTAATAATTTATATAAAAGTCTGTACTGTATGGACCGTTGCTTAGAAAATTGACATGAGTGCACGATTATATTCATGAAACCACACTTTTTTTTCTTCAATTCAATCCATCCACGCGGAAAAGCTTCCTTGTGTCTTTGCGCTGCATGCCACCACAGCGATTACTTCAAGTGCAAGCTAAGGATGTAATGCATGCAAGCTAGGAACACAGGTTGTATATGGAACTTTGGATGTTCGTGTTACGGGAAAAAAATTCTATGTGGCAGAGCCCAGCGTGCGACACCGCTCATATTTTATGCATCTCGGATCACAGGTGCCCAAAGACATTGACATGGGCTTGCATAATCCTTAAAAACCACCTACCTCTCTTGATGTATCTCTCGCTCACCCGACATCCTCCCTCCCAATCTATCTACCCTATCGATGTCCCAACCCCAAGTCATGCCCACCCTAGCCGCGTGGCGGTCTGGCGGATATGACCGGAGGCGCACCCCCATCCTACCCCCGGTGGCCGCCCTTAGCTTCCACTCACCACCATGGCGGCCGCCCATTCTTGTCCCCACCGTACCCAAGCAATTCGGCGGTTCGGGCGAGCGGGGTGGATCCAACCGATGGCATGCTGGATCCATCAAGGTCACAAGACCCACCCCGGGTTCCTCATTGGGTCCTACTACTTCCCCATCATTGCTGACCGATAGGTCCACAACATTGTGTTCATGCACGTCAACACAGGAGTGCAATGCGTCGGGATCTCACATGGGTGGATCTTGGGTCGTCATGACAAACAAAGGATCCATGGCAAGTTGGTGGCACGGGTACTTCAAATAGCGATGATAGCGAGAAGGCGCGTGCAGAGGTCAAGCCGCTACCAAGTCATAGAGTGTTATATGTGTACCTGGTTAGGCCCCCTCGCCCTGCCGCTCATCGTTTCTTTCGATTGAACTCAAATGGTGTTTTGCATATGCTTCCTTGATCTATGGTGTTTTGTAGGTGCTTGGTCCAGAGCAGTGAGTAGCTACTAGCTCTCAGTGTTGAAGGAACTAGGGACGGTGACCCATTGGTGCGTTGCATGATGAAGAGAAGACACCACAAGGACAAAGGGCTTCTATGACATAAATTTTCATCATAAAATTATGTTTTTTTTTCATCACAAAGTGGCCTTTGTGGCGACTTATTTTATCGCCACTAGTCATCACAAATACTCAGTGATGGGTCCCCCCCACACACACACACAAATCACAAATAACCATACTTGTCAGTGATGAATTCTAGTTCCACTAGTGACAATGTTCATTTGTGGTGCTAATTGTTTTCACACAAACATACAAATTAGTGAGAGAAAAATGTAGTCACTTATACAAATTAAAGTGTTCTTATGGCTGTTATACAAGACCAGTTACAAACTGGGGTTAATTTGAAACAGAAGAAATGGAAGGGGAACAAAAAATGTTGCTTGTGTGGGTTAGAAGAGACTACTGATCATATCTTTTTTGAATGCCATGTTGCAAAAACGATCTGGGTTGTTTCAAGGAAGCATTAGGGTGGGATGGGAGAGGGTGCCAGATAGTGTCCAGGATCTTTTTGACTACTGGATACCCTTGGGTTGCGCCAATTTTCAGATCAAACTTTTTATTACCTGTACAATTATCTTATGGGTCTCTGGAATACTCGTAATAAATTGGTGATTCAAAAGAAATTCCCGAAGTCCTCAAAAGAAGTTTTTAATAAATTGTTCATGTTTCTACAGAAGTGGCGGGTTCTTTTGAAGGAAGGAGACGCTCTATTCTTGGATGAGATGATCAAGACAATGAAAGCGTGGTTGCTGGCGTTTTGGAGGAACACTGAAGAGATGGAGATAGGAGTTATCTGATGCTGTTGCTCTTTTGCTTTTTTCGTTTGGGTTGCTGTTTGTGCTGGACGGCTCAGCAAAGAGCGTCTTGAATTTGTTTAGCTGAACGTTGCTGGTATCCCAGCTGTTTTGCCTGTCTTTTCTTTTCCAGTGTTTGTAATACTTGCGATGTTGCTTTATAAAAGCAGGGTTTACCTCCGTAAAAGAAAATATCGTCACTTATATTTTGTTTTTAGTAGTGAGAACATTTGAAACAACTATTGAGAATTTAGGACAATATAATAGTCATTGTTACTATTGTAATAGTGATGAATTAAATGGTCACTTAAGACTACATATTCACAACCATAGGCGATTATATGAGATTATTGTATTGATACTTGTTCTAATTGTTTTTATTATAACTGTCTAGTGGATCGCCACAATTTATGTGTGGAAAGGTGGCACCTTATCAACACAAATAAAATTTTATTTGTGATGCAACTCATCCTCACATCTATAATACAGTGGCAAAACTTTGCCTCACAAAATGTTTTTTTTGTAAAATTTGATCGGATGTATTATATTAATAATTTCATAACAAAAAAACATAGCGTTTGTGTGGAAAATATCTATCATGACAAGTTTTGTTATAAGATAAGTTTCAATTTGTGGAACAGCAAATGTTTTGGCAAATAATTTATCATTATCGTCCTTGTTGTGTCGAAAAAATGGCTCAACAAATGTATTTATAGGGCTCACTAGATATTGAGAAATTTATTTCAACATCATGAGAAAATTTAATTCCAACATCACGAGAAAAAAAGATCCAACATCAGAGAAAAGTGTTCCAACATAAGGAAAATGCTACAGATTTAGGAGAAAATGACATTTATTATAATAAGGCTATAAATTAAATTAGAACACAAATAATTTTAAAAAGATAAAAAACAAATTTATCCCTAGGCCAACGACAAAAAGGAAAAAAGAGCTTCACTAGTGGATATGAAAAAGATAGAAATGATTATTGATGACAAGAGTTATAATAATGAAAACAATTATAAGAAAAAGAAAAACAGGAATAAAGAAAAAAATAGTGTTTGGTTCACTCACCGGATATAAACGGTATGGGAAAATAGATTGCCAGGGGAAGAAGGGGGGAGTTGTTTTTGGTTTGGCGTGGTAACGTATTGTGAAGCACGGTCGATAATGTGATACCGCTCAGGAAGGAAAGGATTCAACGGTGAATGGGTCTGTATTTTATTACATCATGTCGGAACTGCTAGCAACCGGACGTAAGAACGGACACCAATGTCCAAACGTCCGCGGTTGTTTTCGCGCGTCCACGCGTGGGCCCATGTCGCCCGAACGTCGCTTGACTGAGCCTGCGTCACCCGCGCACATGGGGGGGGGCACGCGCCACGCGCCCCCTCTTGCTTCTCACGCGCATCTCCGATGCAACACCCGATCTACTTTAAAAAATACAGATACAACACTTGCAACATACAAGACAGATAAAATACTTGAAACATGCGTCTGAAACACCTAAAAACACTTGAAAAACATTACAAACATACGCAACATTCAGATAAAACACTCGCAACATATGTGTGAAACATATACAATATCCAGATGAACATACTTGTAACATACGTCTGGAAAACAGATGAATATTGGGACAGACGCTTGCAACATACATGTACAACCACTGCAACATATGCAACATCCCGATCTACTTTTGAAAGTGCATTTGCCTTCTATGTGGGTTTTGGTGTATTGATTACATCCAAATTAGGGACTAATATGATCTTAATAAGATATGTCACAGCTATTAGTCTCATAAAAGATTTAAAGAGTTGATAAATACGAAATGGTATCCCTCAATTCTTTAAGTTGAAAAGGTGGACGAACTCAAACGTTCTTCAAAGGTTTTATTTATGTTTTTGAGTTTAGGATCCGCCGCACTATAAAGAGGGATGAAAACTTAGTTGGTCTGAGGAAGATAGAGTGCTCAATCATATAAATAAAATCAAAAGAGAGACTAGCACTCCACGAGCACGTAGAATATTTTTCTATGACTGTCGGTGTCGGAAGTCCCGACGTAAGCCGGAACTCCCGACCGTCGGAAGTCACGACTCATGCCAGAAGTTCTGACTCCCAGTCACTTAGCCTGCGCGGTGACTGTGGACGTCAGAAGTCCCAACGTGAGTCGGAACTCCTGACAGACGTGAGTCGGAACTCCCGACAGTCGGAAGTCCCGACCCAAGCCGGGAGTCCCGACACCTGTGGTTCGGCTGGCTGGCCATCTGCGCCCGTCGGGAGTCCCGACTTCTGGGGCTATGCTGGTTGTCTAACTATGCATGTCGGAAGTCCCGATGTTTGTCGGGAGTTCCGACATTGACTTGCACGCGTGGACTTCTGACCCTGTGTGAACAGTGCTTTCTGTTAACGTCGGAAGTCCTAAGATCTGCGTTGGAACTTTTGATATAGATCTGAACGGTTAGATTTTTACTAAGAGTATAAATAGCCCTCTCTTCACTTCTAACCGTTACGGACTCATTCACAGCTGACCCAACTTCGTCCCAACAGCTCCCAAGCAAGAAAGGCACCCCTCTCCTCCCTCCTTTGCTCCGATCTTTGATTCCCTTAGGGTTTTGAGTGAAAAAAGAGTGGATTAAGTGAGAGAATCACTTTGGCAAGCTTGAGCACTTGATTTCTTCATCAAGCTGGTTGGTTTTACGTCTATTTCATCAACAACGAGGACGTAGGAGCTCCTTTGTGGGGTTGCCAAACCTCGTGATAAATCCTTGTGTCCCGTATGCTTGTTGTTGTGATTGCTAGA